TAAATTAACTCTCGACATATCACTTCTTAATTTTGAATGTTTTTAGGAAGCTTCTTTTATTTTATTTTTTCGACATTGTTTGTTGTTTGCTTGTCTTTTTTGTAGCAAGCCATGGTTGTTTATCAAATTTTTTACTGCCAGCCGGTGCTGCAGCGGCAGAGTAAATCTCTTAGGTCGCTACATTTCCATGCTCACTCAAAAGTATATCCCAAAATTGGCTGTCCTGTATTAGAGTTCAGCTCTTATCTTCAATTATTTGGCGATGAAGCTAACCATTGGCCTGATTGTCTTATGTTAAAGTATAGTTGCTATTTCATTTACCTACCGTTTCAGATTGCATTTTTTCTTTCCTAATGTTTGCATGTCGCCTGCCGCTCTGGTTTTGATATTTTTTTGTGACCTCGCATGTTCACATTTTTTTGATGCAATTTTTTATTTCCGTGACGTAACGTTGTGATCATGTTGAGTAACGCAATCAGTTCTGCTCTCCAGATTTATCCAATAATCATAAGTTTTGTTAGTGGTAAACAAGTTAAATAAATTTTCGCTTCAATTTAATTTTATTTTTTAATTAGCAGAATAGCAGGAACGTTCCTCACAAAAGATCACCAGTAGTTTTTTCTCGGAATTTTCCGCTTTTGTTGTTCCTCGCGACGTATTGGCATTGTAAAAAAGCGTCCCATCTTGGCATATCTCAGCTAGCTTAGCTTTATACTTCAGGATTCCTGCACAGTCATCAGATAAGCGAATAACTGTGATTGATCAAATCCTGAGTGACTTCTACGTCTTAACCATTTCCACAGGTTGAGTAGGGACAGAAAAAATGTACATCCGTAAACTGCGCTACATGTATAATGATAAGACGTGTTGTTGTAGGAGGTGGTATTGTTATCTCCTTCACCATTAAGGAAAAAAAATGTCTCCGGTATTAAAAGAGAGAGCTGTCCAAGGGTAGCGGTAATCCTGACCTTGCAAAGTGGTGCCTTGTTGTTGCCGTTCTAAAGTTAGTGGAAGACCCCCAAAGAAATTTCAGTATACAAGGAACTAATTATCTTTGAAAACCTGAAAGAAGGAAAATGGTGTTACTTTTCGCCAAAAGCAAAATTTCAGTTAACAGACATTACTCACAACAAAACTCCCATTGGAAAAGCACAAAGAGTTATTGCCGAAGAGTAACACTGGGTCGATAAAATGTAGTCAGGATCATTAGCTAGTGGTACGCGACAGGCCGGTAGTACGGGCCAAATCGCTTCATC